CAATCGAATGTTTCGATCTCTTAACGGTAATTTTTTGCGAATTTCAAATTAACTCAAGAACTTTAAATGCAAATTGAAAAATTTTGCTCACAGTAGTGAAAGTAGTTCATCAAAAGCTAATTGCAAGTTAAAAATAATTTTTAATAATTAATATTTTTTTTTAATTGATAATTTTAAATTGATATACAATGCATAATTAATACATAATTTCATCATTTTGACCTAATTTGGATCACATAACATAATTTACATAATTTTGAGTTACACAAATTTTTGTATTATTTTAAAGACGGTAATTTCACATGGCAAAATTTAAACGATATCGTTTGAATAGTTCTTCGAATCTTGAAATGATCGTATGTTTAAAATTCGATTTCTCAGGAATTATTTGACTGATTTTATAAAAATTTCGCATTTCGGAATATAAAACTACTTTCTTTAAAATGCAAAAACTTGAATTCTTTGCAATCCGAAAGCTGTAAGAGCCCCCGGTTAGCTAAACAAAGGACTTAGGAAGACCGTTGCGGCCCCCCTAATTGCTCTATGAAAATTCTCTTTGGCATAGTGGTTGGGACCATAGAGGCCTACTTCCGAACCGAGTTTGAAAATTATAGCTTGATATTAAAAGGAGTTATGTGGCCTTGAAATATGAGGAGAGGGCTCTTAAAGCTAAATAGTCGCGCGCATCTCTGTGTATCAGTGGTCCAACGGTTAGCATGCTCTGCTAGTAACATACGCTTAGTGCTAGCCGGCGTGAGTTCGAATCCCGGCTGTGGTCAATTTGCAAATTTTTTTTCTTTTGTTTATTTTTTATTATATAATTTTTTTAAATGTATTTTTCGATATTTTTAAAGGGTCCTAATATATATATAAAAAAAATTATTCGGAAAATGGCGAATATAAAGTAAAAACAGGAAAAATCCGGGAAAATTAATTTATTTAAAAGTAAATAATAAAATTTTACTAAAATAATAAAACTTTAGTATTTTGTATAATTAACCAATCCATTAAAAATAAATTTTAGTGCATTTTCTACTATATTCGGAGAAACAATTATTTCTTAAGAAATATTCCAGAAACTTACGCGAAAGTGACATTAATCAATCAGTCATTGATCAGTTATTTTAAAATTTCGACTGAGGGAAAGAAATGAAGGCCATGGGCAGAGTAGGAATTGAGAGCCATCTTATATGAATGTTGATTTTATAATTAATGCATTTAGTGTAAACTTCTCTTCCAATAATTACATTATGTAATCTCTTAAAATGAAAAGCCAGCCTAAACTTCCATTTGTCCATGTGATTTTTTAACAATTTTGAGAAAATTTAGCTGAAATATTAATTGTAATAATAGTTCATTTCGAGGATACAAACCAAAATTCATAGCCAACGTTGACCTGAGGTTTCCTTTAAAGGAAACCCCGGGTCAACGTTGGCTATATAGCTGCCAACGAAAATCTTTGTCTTCATATCTTTTGAGACTAAGCATTATTAAATTCCTTTTTTCACGTTATAAAACCTTTGAAATAAAAAACTTTCAGCACCTGACTGTTAACTCCTTCATACCTGGCATTCGGCACACTGGATAACAATAATCAGAATTAAAATAGTTTGGTCTTATGGATGGGTGATCGTGTAAAGCTAAGGGTGGTGGCGCTAGAGGTAAAATTGCTCTTTCAAGACTTCCGGGTTACTGCTTCCGATATATTTTTACGCCGCAGATTGAAAAAACGCGGAATCATATTATTGCATCATATCTTTTGCAGTATTTCACATGTACCGAGTTCTTTCTTTCAGCCTTTAAACTTCAGCATTATCATATTCATCTTATAATCATTAGAATATTTTCTAATTAGGCTATCTTAAAAAGATTTTTTTAAAGATATTTTTGGTGACATTTTATTCATATGTAGCCAAATAATGGATAAAATACAAATCATGGCAAACCTTAAGAATTATTCACAATGAGATATTAACTTTCCAAAATTTTTTTTGGCCTTACGACCTCTGAGAATCAATACATTTCTGAAAGCTCTTATGAATGGTACAATTATGTTTAGATTTGAACCCAAATTACAATAACAAAACTGCATAGAATATTAGGCTTGTTCACACATCGCCTCGTAGTCATAACATAAGCGGAGGGATACACCGGAAATTTTCTAAATTTCCTCCGGTTTAAGGACGCTTATTGTTTACATTAGACTACCCATCCATTTGACGATCGAAATGCGTGTGGTGGAGATCTCCACCACACGCTGATGACTCGAGTCATAGAGAAGGGAAGTATACGTTAGTTTCTCTCTGGATTTTCATATAGATTAAAATCTTTTAAATTGGAAAACTATATGGAACTGAAAACTACATTAAACATAGTTCTAAAGAAAAGCATCAAGGAAATTTTAAAAATATTTTTCTTAAATAAAAAGGAAAAATATTAAGAAAAGGGAAAATCTCGTAGTACATTCCTATACAACTGAAAAGAGGAGAGGGAAGGGAGAAAGGCCTAAGGCATGAAACCGGTCTCTTCCCAGATGGCGTATTCTAGTATTGTGATCGCCAATATTCTTATTAGTTTCTTTTAAATTTAATATATATTTTCCTTTGATGGCAATATCAATTGAAGTAAATTTTTTTTATCATCAATTTTCAAATTCACCATATCAGTTTTAAAAAAATCTATAGTTAATTTTGTTTTGTTAGCGTTAAATAATAAAAGTTTAATAAATAGACCAATTAATCAATACATTAAAAATTAATTTTAGGGTACTTCTGGAATTTTCTAATCTATATACGGAAGACTAGTTATTTCTTAAATTATTCCAGCAACTTATGCGAAAGTGATATTAATCAGGGAAGTATGAATCAAAAGAAACAATGTTGATCAGTTATTTTAAAATTTGGACTGAGGGAAAGGAGTGAAGAGTAGGTAATTGAGAGCCATCTTATATGAACGGGGATTTCGTAATTAACGCATTTAGAGTAAATTTCTCTTTTAATAATTAAACTATTGGCTCTCTTAAAATGAAAAGCCATGCCTAAAGTTTCACTTGTCCCTTCTGTTCCGACATTTCGTAAAAAGTTCAACTAAATTATCAATTTTAATAATAGTTCATTTCGAGGATATAAACAAAAATTTATAGCCAGCATTGACCCCAATTCTTGAAAAAAGTTTATTACCCTGTCCGATTTTATAAAGAATTATTAACGTGATTTTTGATTATCTATTCAGCAGTGATTTACATTTAGTTTTTCTTTTTCATCGCTTTTTTTTACTGTAAAAATAATCAAAGGAAGATTAAAGAAAACTGTTGCCTTTCTACAATCTAATTGGTCAGTTAAATGCAAAATATTACAAAACAAGTATGGAAAGTGACTAACACTAAACTGTGCCAAAAGAAAAAAAAACGTTGTTTCATACAAACATAAACGTCACTTTACTTTGTTATTAGAGAGATTAAGCACTTTGGTGGGGGAAACCCGCACTTATAATTTGCACGTATAATCTCGGTCTTTACGAAACTGTGCATTATGCATAGACGTGCAGAAGGCTACATAAAAATACTAAAGCTTTCTATTTCATAACAAAATTAAACTATCTATAAAATGCAAATAAATAAATAAAGCTAACGCCTTTAGATCTAATTTTTATGCACTAGGACTCAATCCTAACTTTAAATAGAAGATTTAATTTGTGCAGGCTGCAGAGGATATTTTAAGGTTGACATAAAAAAACACTTTCAGTGAACAAACATTTCCCTCCGATAGATTCTGATTCTTGCCTTTAATATGGGATAACCACAATCTGGAAAAAATGGTCCCAATAGTTTAGTTAGAAAAATTGTCTAAAGTCCTTTAAGTTAACATTATTTTTTGCATATTTCGCTATGTCTCAAGAACTTTTGTCATCCTGTGGAGCATCATGATATACATTCCATTCCCTTAAAAGTTTTTAAGATATAGTAAAATATGCAAAAAGTGAAATTAAAATGAACCATCTCCTGATTATTTGACCTGAATTCGGAACCATATTTTACAAATTGCAACCCTTTTTTAAATATTGCCGAAAGCCAGCGAACATCTCTCTCTCTCTCTCACTTCACGTCACTCTTAAGACTATGCATTTTGCTCAAATATAAGTGTATTTGCTCAAAATAAACTGTTTCAATTTTGATCAATATTTATTTCAAATTCGACAATTATTTGTTTCGGAGCTATTATGACACATTTTGCTCACTTTTGAAAAATCCTTTTTTACAGTTTACGCCTGAATCAAAATGTAAACTTAAAATATGTCGGGATCAAAATGTAAATCACAAATTATGCCTAAATAAATTGTTTCCGAGGAGCAAAAAACCATGTTATATCATTTATGATCAAAATGTGTCAATAAAATGTATTGCTCAGTATTAACAAATTTAAAGGAATTACATTATAAAATAATTCATAAATTATTCATTCACATTTAATTTTCCTTTTTAATTTGTTTCTGATTCATAAATTTTTGTTCACTGTTTTGATAGTGTGAATGTAATAATTAAATCATAGTTACCCAAAATAATTTATACAACTACAACACATATAAATGTGATGAAATAACTATTTTTAATAACAATTATTTTCAATGAAAACATAACTATTTTCAATAAAATAACAACTATTTCTAATAATAATAATATTTTGATATCGTACGTATCGTACGTTTGTATTACATATACGAGCAAAGTTTATGAGATTTGCAGCTTGCGTTGGTTAGCCTTACCAGTTGAAGAAAAGTTGGCATGCCACTGGGCATGGATGTCATACTAGTATATACAATATTTAGAAAATAAAATTGCTACAAACAATTTTCTTTTTGTCCCTTTAATAGAATGTCAAAATTAAATTTGATAGAACTTTAAGCAATTTATACATTGTATTATTGTTTTACCTTAAGAATTATCAATTAGAGTTACGAGTTAAAAATTGAAATAAATGTTATAAATAATGTCATGTTATAAATAATTTAAAAACACTTTATTATTAAAAAGTTTGTAAATTTTGTTTAAAGTAACAACCAAAGGGCCCCTGACAGTTCTGTGCCAAGAGCCCCCGGTTTACAGGAAACAGATTATTGAAAAGTTTCACCATAATTTTTAATTTTTCATAAGAATTCGACAGCTCTTCTGTCATGTTGAAATATTCTCTTTTGCCAGTCAAGAAAAAATCATTATCCCTATGGGGAGAGGCTGTTTGCATCAAAGTGTACGCCAAATGGATGCCAAGCTCTCAGCGTGAAAGTATATCAACATTGTCAACTCTTGAAACTATGTTGAGTAGCCTTCTTTTTGCTCGCTTTCTTAAATCGTGTGAAATAAGGAAAACAAAACTTTTGAATAATCAATTGACAAATAATAAGAACTAATAAACATGATATCTCAAAGTCATAACAAATATACGTTTTTCTATTTACATTTAAAGAAACTGAAGCAAGAATAACAAATATTATTTTTGCAGACAATTTTCTTCTACAGTGAAAAAGTAAAAATTCCTTATCTCGCACTTGATTGGTTAAGGACATGTCAGCATAAGACGCACCATTTTAGTGGTCCAATTAAATCCAATGTTCTCACAACGTCATATAGTTCTTTTTTTCCAAGAATGAATGTTCTTGAAAAAAAATCGTAATATGTCGCCAAGTCTAGGATTCCCCTAAGACTTTGAAATTATGATCTTTTTTAATAATTTTGTTATATATATTGTAAAAGATTAGCTTGAATTAAATTTTTGTCTAATGTGCTTAGCTTTTAAAAGATTTAAAATTTTTTTGAAAGCATACTTATATTATTTGATAAAAAAAAAGGAACCTATGCAGTCGTGGTTGATTACTTAAATCCTATACCGCAATAGTCTTTTCTTAACTAGCAACAGAGTTTAAATACTAAATTTTTTCACTAATCAAACATATGATTGATGGAAGAAGAAATTATCTGAATTTTTTTTCTCAATTTTTTTTTATAGCTACATTTTTTAAAAAAATCTTTTTATGTATATAGAAAAAAAATAAAATGCTCATTTTTATGCTCAAAAGTAACATTTATAAAATTTAAAGAGAGACAATTTTTTTTTGTCTAATAAATTTTTTTCTCAACAACACATAACATTCAACAACAATCAATTCTCAACAACATATATACATTGAAATTAATAACATATTTCTTCTTTCTCACATTTTACAAGTCATTAGAGCATAAAAAAAGTTTTAAAACTGTGAAATACATGGCAATAACTGAATAAAGAGTGATGATAATATCATGCGTATGCGCGATGAATTGACATAAATCGGATGAAAAGGGGTTAATTAAATATACATTTTGAGATTCATATGTTGCAATAAATAATACGGTATTAAGAATATAGAGATTTCAAAAAAATGTATGGAAATCAATAGTGATAACTGTGAAAAAAGTACATTTTTAAAACGATAGAATCAATGCATCAAATAGTGAATACTCAAGTTTGCGATTCGAATTTCTCGTATCATAAAAATTATTTCAAATATTCAAATATCACGAGGGATTTTCAAATATCACGAGGAAATCAACAGCAATAACTGCCAAAAAAATCCGATCGATACGCCGCATAGATTTTGCATTATGTAATAATATCAGAATTTTAAATACCATGAGAAAATCAATTAAATTAACTGTAAAAGAAGAAAAAGATTGAAACACGGATTTATGATAAAGTCAAAGTCGTTGAAAAGTGATAACTGAAATGCATGACTCGAAATTTACATGTTGTAATACCACATTAAAAATTAAGTCAATCCACTTGTAGCTAAATAAAAAAAGATCCCAGTGCTTAAATAATTCCCCTGCTACAAATCCTAATTTGCAACAAATTTGCTATTCATTAAAGTATAAGTTTTAAAAAAAAGAGAAAAAAGCAAATGATTTTCTAGTGAACGAGTTTTCAAATGTTTGCCACTTCGAAATTACTTTTTAGATTATCAATTTTATACTTTTGTGTTTGCCTCAGTAGTTTATCAATCCTAGGCAAAATTAGGTATTTTTTTCTTTCTTTTGTCTCATGATCTCGAAGTTTATCCGAAGTTCCAACAAATATGCATAAAAAAAGTCGTAATCACACGTTAATGAGAACTTGGGGGGGGGGAATGGCGTGCTAGTAAGGGTGGAATAAACGTCTTGTTAACGAGGTTTGCACAAATAGCAAAATTTAAATTTTAGATCAGCGAAACTCTCAGAAAATTTTGTTGGAACATAAAGTATTGGTTCGCGGAAATCCACGAATTAGTGGAAGAATCACACATCTTTTAATCTATGGAAAAAACAACGAATTTCATAAAAGATAAAAAGTTCAATATGATTGCATTCATTAAATTGTTGTTGAGAGGAAATTACACATGCACACACGATGTAATTGTAACACATTATATATCTATATTTACAAGCATTTGAAAATTCAAGACCAGCCTTGTCTTACTTATAAAATGCAAAATCCACAAGGGAATTGTGGACTGTTTGGGATTCAAAATACCCATAATCTAAAGAATCTGAGATATATATTTTATATACAGTTAGCTCTTTCATAAATGATTCCTATCAATAAACTTTATATTATTCAAATACAACTTTATGCTTCCATTTAAATAAAATTTGCATCAATCGATATACAAACACATTTCTATAACAAACATATTGGAAAACAATATTTCTTAATCAGTTCATGCAATATGTTTTTAACATTACACATTATAATACTACAGATTGACAAATACTACAGATTGACATAACTTTAATGATATCGTGCATTTGTTTTGTTAGGTATTTTACGCATTATGAAATTGTTTTCAAAACATATTTTTTAATGTGCTTCCAAACTTTTTTTTATGGACAGTGTCTCAAAGCAAACTTGTCTAGACTTAATTATTTCCTTTGGTAGAAATAAAATGTTCTTTATTTTGCTGAACCATTGCTAACCATGAACTAGAAAGAAAGAAATGAATTATAATGTAAAAAATTTTTTTTTTAAATATAGCAAAATATATATGTTTATTATGTTTTATTTTTGATGTATTATTATTACTTACATAAAAAAAATCATAAAAGCTATATAAAAACAATCAAATGTAAAACATAAAAATTTATAAAACATTTTATTATAAGATTATCAGATATTCAAAAATCAAACAAACAACTAGAGTAGAACACTTGTTTTGCATTGCTTGTTTCGTGCGTTATCTCACTTCTTACGTCATTCTCCGCTGTTCTGTGAAAATTGCCTATACCGATAATGTTAAAGAACACCATATTTTACGTTACCTTTTTTAAAAAAATCCCATTTTATATGTTTTTCTAACAGATCAAAATCATGCTTTCTCTACAAAGCTTGCACTAACTTTTTCAGAGTTCTTTTTTTTTAAGAAAAAAGAGAGTGAGAGAGAAAAAGGAGAGACTTGTTTAATAACTGTTTGAAGCTGCTCTGACATTCTTTCAATTCATTCTTACACTCCATTTGTCTGTGAAGGGTTTTCACCCTTGAGTCAGATCAGAAGGGCGATGTGAAGGGGGAAGCCCAGGAAGGGTAGTTAAAAGAAGTATGGTAACTTAAATTGTAAAGTTTTTGGCTGGAATTTTTTTACATCAAACTTCAACCTTTGAATCTTGGAATAATTTCATCATTTAAAGAACGTTACAGTAAACAACAGCTTCCAAAGCAAAAAAATAAATGCTCAGGTAGCACTGATTTTTATTTCTACAGCTTTGGACAGAGTCGACTATACATTACAAATAGGTTTAATAAAGCAGGCTCCCCTGTATCCAACGCAAACATTCAACCTTCAGATTAAAATTCCCTGGCAGAAGATCTTCCAAGATTGACGATTCATATATGAACTGCAACACATATCCCATTACTTTTTAATTCCTCTAATATCTGATTTAATACCTGTTCCAATTGATAGTGTTGAAAACAATGAAGATGAGTAAAACATATTAGAGAATATATCCACAACTGGTTCAATTTTTCTCCCGACTGCAAATTTTTTCTCCCAATACTTGATCCAGGAGTTCCCTTGTCTTCTGGATAGGGTTTGAAATTACAAGGCTACAGAGTGGAACATTAGTAGTCGTAAACCCAAAATTGGGTCCACTGTTCAACGACGGTTATAAAATTAAATACAAATGTGTAAATAATGATATAAAAACGAACTTCAATGAAAACTAAATGCTGAGTTTTTCGATAAGTATAACCCATGAACCTTTGTACACGGAAGATGTTTTTTTTATAGCTAAAAAAGAAATAGCTAATATTAGAATGAACCAATATTAATTAAATCTTCATTCTTTTTAAAAATAATTATGATATCTATTAAATAAAAACAAGTAATAGGTGAATTGAGGATGCAGAATGTTGCTTTGAATCTAAAATAAGTACTGGAATGCTGCACTGTTGCATTACGCACTAGACCCATCAGATAGTAATGAAGTATCGATAATAATAAAATGAAGAGTTTGTGTGTCTGTTTCTTTCATAACTCATAAACTGTTTATTCTAGCGTCTTGAAATTGGGACAGCGGATGAAGGGGACAATTTTAGCTCCAGTTCCTAAAATTCATTCCAAAATTTTAATGAGATCATTTAGGAAAGACGTTTGAAATATATAATTTTTTCATTGGTTGCCATTGTTTCCATGTCAACTACCCATTCCTAAAAATTAGCCCACAGACGATTCGTTTTGTATTTTAAATATTACATTAGGGATGTTTTCTAGCTTATAGCTGTTATTAAAAAAGAAATTAATTGTATGTTCTGTAATATTTAATTACTTTTTATTCTTTACCTCAGATAAACTCAATGGTCAATACAAATGTAGCAGCATAGGGGGACTACGCCAGAAAAGTAGTGTTCCTAAATTTATCTGAAATCAGGTGCTTACTTTGTTTATAGTTATGCTTTAAAAAGATATCTATAAAACTAGAAATAATTTGAAGTCAATGGTGAATTAAAAAGTAATAAATTATGTTCTAAGAAGCAAAATTAATGAGAAATTGTACTAATTCATTTAGGAGAAACATAAAAAGTGCCATACTGATGCTAATGTTGCTTGATTAATTGCAATAATAGGTAGAAATTGAAATAAAAACTGAGCTAAGCACTAAAAAGCAAAATTAATAGAGAAGTGGAAACAAAATTAATTAGATGCGTAAAAATTGTCATACAATTACTGACACTAGTGCTGAATTAATTTTGGTTATAGTTACTAATTGAATTAAAAAAATAAACTATGTAATAAAAAACAAAATTAAGGGAGAAATGGTTTAAATTCATTTAAAAGAAACACATTTTTGTAAATAGTTCTAATGCATACCAAAATAGGTACTTCTCTATTAGCGAGACGCAAGCAAAAAAAAAAGTCCCCTAAAAATTTGTTTCTCTACTATTTTTTTAAAATTTCATTTATTGGGCTGGGACAGCCTGATTGGTAAGGCATTGAACCCATGCGCAAGAGGTCATGAGCTTGATCTTCACTGGCAGAAGAATCCCCGTGTACAAATGGTGACTGGTGCATGCTAAATATGTCAGGGTCACAAAGCCCTTCAAGTTCCCATAACAAATCAATACCAATGGGGGTACTGGATCGGAGATTGATTGTGCTCTGGTTAGGTCAAAAGTGTGATCTGCGGATGGATGGTGTGTGAATGTGTGTGTTAGAATTCGAATTCTCGTCCATAGATGGCACCACTGGAAAACAAGAAGTGCACCCCTTTGCCTTAAAATAGGCTTGTCAGTATTGGCAAGTAGCATAAGACAACAACAATAAAAAAAAAATTTCAACGTAACAAAATTATTTTTTTAAACACAAAACAAAATGGAAGTTTGGAAAAATTAAATAACAAAAAGGTATAAAAAAAAATTAAAAACAGTTAAATTTACTTGCAACTAAAAGTATTCAAAAATAAAATGATCTATATACTAAAAAGTAAAATTAATGGTTTAATAGTACTAATTTGTTTAGAAGAAAACTATAAAATTGGCATAAAATTTTTGCTACCAATGATGCTCACTTAATTTTGGCAATAGTAAATAATTGAAATAAAGAAATAAAATATGTAACCTATAAGTTAAAATAAATGAGGGAAAAATGGTACCAATTCGTTTTGGAGAAATGCAAAAAAGTGTCATGCTATTATTGCTGCGATTGAGGTCATTGATGCAATTTTAATTGGTACCAAAGATACTAATATAGATGCAATGTATTACATTAGTACATTTGGTACCTATTAAAACTACATCAATACAGTTTTAATATAGATAACATGGAAAGAGTTTTTTAGGGTCTCCCAAAAGAAACAAGTACCAGAGAAAATTGCTTGGTTATGGTAAATTTTGACTTTCATCAGTTGACCTTGAGCTACAGCATCATGCCAAATGATACTGAATGCAATTGATCTTTCTTTTGATGGGATGAACGACTAAGAAAGTTTTTTGCTCAATCTGATAATGCAAAGCTCCAAGAAAGGGCAAAATGTAATAATTAGTAAAAAATATTGGAATAAATTTAGCTTCAATAATTGAGCTGAAATATATCTTTTAGTTTTGAGCATGATTTTGTACTGTTTCAGTACTGATTTATTGGTAATTATCTTTTTCCCCACAGTACAAAGAACGGGTATTCAGTTGGTAAAAAATAATATTAAAATAAAAAATTTTACCTCATAGTACAACATGAAGATAAAGGTGGAAGTGCAAGACAATTAATCTCCTTCCTAGTTAAAGGGTCAATCTTAGAGAAGGCGTCCAATAATTCTTCATAAGAAAATTTCATTTTTTCTAAAAAGAATGAAAAACTGATAATTTATTTTAAAAACAAATTAACTGAAAAAAAAAAGATAGAATTAGTATTCATATTTCTATGAAAATCATGTATAGGAATAAACCAACTCCTATAAAAATCAGTCAGCAACTTTAACACATTAAATGCCATGGGGGTCACTGGTGACTGACACTGAGTTTGTTCGTAGCGCCACGTGGGTCACCGGTGACCAGCGAAGCCAAGATTAATAGAAACACATATTTCCAGTAAATTTTTAATGCTTTTAATTTTTATATATTATCATCGTAACTAAAAAGGTTTGAAGAAATTAATGCAATATAGAACACATAAAAATAGTTTTATTTATAACATGTAACCTTAAAGATTATATGCACACGTTATTTGTGACATGACTGCAATGAAGAGTAACCAACCATGAGCAATAACGAATGATTACAAAAATTAACTGTTTTGTTGTAAATAATATTTCATCAAAATATGCAACGCATACTGAGAAAATAATTTTGGCCAGACGGGCAAGCCATGTAAAATTAGTGTGGCATTCAATGTGTTAAAAAAATAAATAATTTTAGTTACTCAAAGACAAAAGTCACTATTTATACTTCCCCCTTTATTAAGGAGAGGTGACGCCAGTAAAGGATCAGGGGGCGGTGATTGCCCCCCTGTCTGGCATTGTTTGCACGCCTGTCGGGCGGACTTAAAAACCATCGTGTAAATGCTACTTTCTTGTCTCCATTTGTCTACTACTGACATGTCTTATATACTAGTGAATTGGTATTCAATATTTATAGTGGTAGTTACGCCACAATCACAAGTTTAAAAAAAAATAGCTTTCGGATATAAAGGGAAAAATTCTTTTGGAGAAAATGCACTTTTCTGCCAATTAAATTTACAAAATTATGCAAAAAAGGATAAAATGTAAGACGTTTTTATTTATGTCTGATATTAATAAAGAAAGTGAATATCATTTCACCTTATTTTCCTCTTCCTCCTTTAAGTTATTAAAGCATATATATGAGGATAACCACCAGCTAAATTATCTATAAACTATTTTTTTCTTTTAATTTATTACAAATAAAAATGAATAAAATCTTTTGCTGTTATCAGCAATATTGTCATATATCTTCTACACTTATTAATCAGCATATTTGAAGTCCCCATCTCTAACCACTAAGATTGAGTTCTAGAACATGAAGATCTGATCATTAGATCAAATGTTACTAAGGGTGGTCCGTTTTTTTCGCACTGAACAGTGCCCAAAAAACTAAACAGACCAACATGAATAACTTTTGATCTAGTGATCTGATCTTCATGTTCCAGGACTCATTCTTAATGGTTCAAGAGGGCGAAGTCAAATATACTAATTAATTAGTGTAGATGATGTTTTAGGTAAAGAAATCAGATATGAAAATATACCTTCTCTGAATAAACATACCTCTTTTTGGACGGATTCGGATTTCTGACCCCCAAAATATACGGAATAGCCGCAATCAGGAAATATAATTCCAATAGTTTGGTCAGAAGTACGGCTTGAAGTTTGGACCCCTTAATGTTAACTTTACTTTTTGCGTATTTCATTACATCCCAAAAATTGTTTAAGCGAGTCGAAAATTTTTTGCATACAATTATAATTTTTTTTCTTTTTTTGAAGATAACTTCATGCAAAATATAACTTTTAGTAAATATTTATTATTTTTTTAATTATTTTATTTAATCATAGTTGAACATTTTTTAATTGTAAGGTGTACTATTTTTACATCATTTAAAAGAATGCAATTTTAAATGGCAAAATACAAAATTTGAGCAAACTTGGTCGAATAGTTCCAGAGAAATTGAATCTTGAAAAAGTCGTATTTTTACAAATTTTGTCCACCACCTCCTTAATTTTTGAGTATATTTTTTGTGACTCAAATTGATAACTATAAAAGTCCTATAAAAGACTATATTAAAATTCATAACTATTAAAGCAAAAATAAATTTTAATTGCAGAGAAAAAAATGTTTCACGTTGATATGTGGTGGACAATAATTAATTAGCTGTGTGAAAGGTTATTCGATGCAGGCATTTGCTATTATGTGAATAGGTTCTGCAGAGCAGAAGAGAAATCTTAGTAGAAAGTTTGCTTTCAGCTCTGCAGAGAAAAGAAGACATAGGCAGGCAAACAGTAGCAATATGTGGCAATTTTTTTAAAATGTAATTTGATTAATATTCCTTTCTCGGGCACAAATTTAAAATTGAAAAATTATTAAAAATTTTAGCTATTGTTTGGATTTTCTATTTTAAGCTGATGGACTCACTCTTTTTCTCAAATGGAGGAATTAGCATTTTGCTGAACACACAGATGGTCCTTTTAAAACCATTTTCGGAAAAAAAAAGAATCATAGGGGGAATTTTTAAAAGTCTCTCTATATTTATTTATATACATATATATATTAAGACCCAGCCTCTTGATTAAAATAATCCTTTTTATACGGTAAAAATTACACTATGTAACAATTGCTATGTAAATATACCATGTAACAATTAAAAAAACGAATTTTACTATTAAATGGGCAAAAAATTTCAAAATGTGTACAAAATGGAACGGATGGAATGGAATGGATAGAATATGTGGTTGCAAAAAAATGTGCTTATCAACTTTATTTGCAAAACTGAACTATTACGAGGTAGAGATAAGAAAATTGATTTTTACATTTAAATTATTCAAAAGTCAATCAATACATTAATAAAATTTTCATATCAGAATGTTCTTTAAACGTTTATTTAAATGTACGTGAAATTTAAAATTTTTATTATCAAATAATTTTTTGTTATAAGAGTGGAAAGCGTAGAAATTTTCTAAAAGAGCGGTGATGGCAACAATAATTTTTCTTTATTTCAGAAGTAATTTTTAAGCTTTCAATGTGTGGTAACTTGCATCATACAGTACAAAATGCATCAAGTGCAAAAAAAGTGCAATTTACATTTACATTAAAATTTATCTACACATTATGGTATCAAAATTAGTGATTTTAACTTCCTGTAAACACATTTCTGAAGAAAATAAATTATGTGAGAAATGTGTGAAGTATAAAATATGTTTTAATTTAAATATTTTGAATTAATTTGGGGGGGGGGGAGAGGCTTGACTCCCTGTCAGGCAAAGTCTGGCATCCCAAGCACTTAAAATGTATTGATTTTGCTTTTTATTAGCAAAATATAGAAACATGATATGACCATATGATTAAGGCATTTTATTTTTTTTCTTTGTAAAACACTGGATATAGAGCATGGGATGGGGATAATGGATAGGGAACACTGGATAGGGGCTAAAGTGAACGTGAATAACTTTTTTATTTATAAGCCAAATATTTTCTGTGAGATATTATAAATTGACAACACTGGTGTACACTTCCATGTGCAGTCGCATAATCACACTGTGAATATTTTAGTCGAAATTTGTTTAAAAAAAAAGGTTTCTAAGGTGCAAAAATTAAACTTTCAAATTTTCTCTTTATTCTTTGATTAACATATTTTATTTTCAGAATTTCAACTGAAGGAGATTTTATAATTATTTTAATTTTAATGCTTTGTATAGTTTCAATCAATAATTTTTAAGCTTAAGCAAACATATGTCTTCATGGGGCTAGTGAAGACACATGGTGGTGAAGTTAGTCTGAAATTTCTTGACAACACTGACTCAATAAAAGTTAACGACTTTCTGCCAGTTACTATTTTTATTTAAAAAAACAAATAAACATTGCTGCACATTATGTTGGTAGAATGGAAGTTGTTTATAGATTTGGAGACTATGTTAAATTTTTAAGGAAAAAAAAATAGATTTAGTTCTTCTAATCATGAATCTTTCATTTTTCCCGAAAAAAAAATATTCTCACATCTTAAGAAAAAAAAAAAAAACCAAACTTCAATGGCAGAACTACCAAGACTGTATCTCATTTAACATTAAAAGTTGTCAATTCAATTTTTTTGATAAAATAAAAAAAAAAATTCAAAATATATATCAAATGAAATAAATTTAATAATGATTTTTAAATGAATTGATTTGTGTTTAATATGTCTTCCTTAGTACAGTAAAATGCTCTATTACAAATTAATATTGTACACAATCTATGGCAATCTTTATTTTTCCAACAAGGCTTGAATTAAAATTAATTTCATTTTGGCTTCATATATACCTTTCTAAGTTGTAATAAATGACTACTTAACAAGTTATCAAGATTTCCTGCATTAGCCCTATAGCTTGTTTACACTAGCCCTGTGTAGTGGGGGCTGTGTGAACAAAAACAGCCTTTTTTAAAAAAAAATTATTATGGAAAACAGAACATTTTACGTCCAGATATAAACCAGAATCCAGTAAAATGGTCAAATTATTGTTTAAAAAATACTATACCAGTTGTAAATTTTATTTAATAAGATTTCCTTTAAATAATTTCTAAAAAACGTTCACACTAGTCCCTCTCTTCCTTAACGGAAATATTTTTCAACATTTTGAATTTGTAACTCAAAATTTCTAAAAAACGTTCACACTAGTCCCTCTCTTCCTTAACGGAAATATTTTTCAACATTTTGAATTTGTAACTTGATTCCTCCTAAAAAAATTATTGAAACCTTTAAAAAAAAAAGAGATAATAACATTTGTTTCTGACTTTTAGTATCTTCAGATGGAATTGCCATTAAGTTATTTTTTGTTTGTTGGCAACATGGTCCCTGTAGTTTTTTTTCTTCTTTTCAATTTTAATATTCCGCATGTCATTAAATATTTTTGGTATAATGCTTTCGATCACTGGAAAAAGATATTTTGCTCCATCAAAATCTACATTTGTTTTCTTTTGTTCAAGTTAATTTACATTAATTTTCAGAACCTAGAACAACTAAACATCAAGTTGAGAAAAATTAGCATTTCCTATACCTTTTTTTTTTGCAATTAATCAAGGCATAAAAGCTGCTTGCGACATTTGTACTGTATATAATAAAGGGGCCATAGCTGTAAGAACTACTCGCGATTGGCATGCCTAGATTCAAAATAGAAATTAGTTGAATTTTATGAGGAGCAATTGAACCAACTTTTGCACAAAAATCTGCATTAGACGACAAGGGAATTTTCAGAGAAAACATAATGCTCCCACCCATTAAACTTATAAAAAACTGTGAGTATAGTATTTTATAAACACAATATTTGAAATAAAGCAGTTATAAGTAGTAAGCAAGATGATAAAAAATTATATGTGTTGTGTATTTTCCTTTACCTTTTTTAATCGGACCAAGACGAGCAGCAACTGAAAAAAGAATATCAACAGTCCATGACAAAGGTATTCTGGGATATATTAAACAATCGCTAGTTCCTGGATGTAGACCAATTTTCTGAAGCAATAGAACAAAAGATTTGTTTTTCAGTATTGCTCGCTGCTCACAAGTAAAAGGTATGACGGGTACTGGCATCATAATATCTAGAAAGAAAATTTGCTTTAATCAAAAAGCTTACAAAAAGTTAAAAGATAACATTCTTACTTAAGATTCAACAGAAATTAAACTTGGGATTATTAGGAGAAATTACACAGCAAAGAAACTATAATTTAGCATTCCAAATTACAACTATGAAATTAATGAATTACCTTTTTGTCTTGAAATATGGTCTAAAGAAGAAATCTAAGAAGTTAAATTATAAAAATTTCCCATGAAAATGTTACACAATTATGCTAAAAACATAATACACAATTGAATCGATGAGTCGGAAAATCAGTCACCTCCACTTTTTTACAAAGTTGAGATTCTTGCATTGTTAAGTTTAGCTGACGCAGATACACAGTTAGAATATTGTTTATTTGTATCTCGACCTGCCCTATTTAAGGGCATACGAGAGACATAGTTAGGATATAAAAAATTATTGTCCTTCTACTTGGTATAGTATATTTTGTGTAGTGAAATTGCAATGACATATCCTGGAAATATGATATGTCAATGTATATGTTCGAAAACATGACATATCCTGGAAATATGATAGATGGTTGTTGTTGTTGCTTATGAAATCGTTCGCATAATCTAACAAATACTTATTTAGTTAAGGCCTGTAAATGTTTTTTTATCACATAGTGAGTAATTCAAAGGGTAGTTGTTTAGATGGAATATGCAAGAAAATAAAGAGGGATAAAAGTATAACTATGGAATGTAAAAGAGTACAAATAATATGATACTTGATTGCAAAAGCTGATGACCGGAACATTATAAGAAAAATGTGTAATCAAAATGCTCCTATGGAAAAGTAAAAAAGGGGAAACAATAGTTTCAGGAGTCACATTATAGCAATTTTACTTAAAAAAAACATTACACCAGGGGAAGTTGAAGTAACTCTTCCATTAATGGTTTATAATGGCTGTAGAAAAATAAGTACCCAAAAAGTGGCACCATAACCAGTTAAGAAAGCTTATTTTGGAAACGTGGCCATAAACCACAAGAAAATTGTAGTCACCAAAAGAGTTTTTACAATACGAAACAAATGAGTTTTTGTCTTCCTATGAAGACATTTGTAAGTGATCCAGAACAGACAGTCATTTTCAAAAACATTTCTATTTCAATACAAATATCAATGAATATGTAGTCTTCATTTCATTTCCAAATGACAAATTATTTATATCTTTGCTTGTTAGTAGGCATTATAGTATTTGTTTTAAGTTTTTTTTCTTCCCAAAATCAGTCATCTCCAAGTTTCAATAATCTTATAAATGAAAAAATTGTGTGAGGTTATCACACAAATTGCAATAGAATATTTTGTAAACAGCCATATTTTAATATCAAAAAATTAAAAAAAAACTCTACAGATCAAGCTAATCCTAAACTATTCAGTTTTTTGTCTCTCCTGTAAAATTAGTTTTGTTGGAAATGATCAGAATGACCTGTTTTTAAATTTATTGATTCAATAATGGGCTTAGTGACTACAGAGTTGTTTCTAAAGATGGGCCCAGGCCTAGAAGCCCAAATTTCAATGAAGCCCCAAAAGGGTTAAAATTCTCTTTGCATATGAAGTTTATTTTCAATTCTATTTAATTCATTATCCTAATTAATTTAGATCATGACACGTTGCAGATGATAGAATAATATGTTCTTGTAGAAGGGGATGAACAGAAAATTGTTTTTCAAAGGGATGGTTTGTTTTTCTCATACACTGCACATGCTGCACAGTTCAGGGAAAGGGGATTTTGAATGTAGTTCAACAACAATGGAATAATATTTTATGTTTGATATTCCTTAAATTTAGTTATGCTCCTTCCTGTTTTATTTTTGTTTAGTTTGTGTTTTATACTTTGAATTGGAACAACTTTAACACTTAGTTTGGTCATGTACTCATAAGAATGTGAGAATCAAAATGTATCACTTATATCAATTTTATTTTTCCTAACAAATTCTTATTGTATGTATAAATTTACTATGCATATTTATTGATTAATGTTGAAATGATGAACTCAAATAGCTTAAAATATGATTGATTGATTTAAAAGTTAAACAACTAAAATATGTTTTCTTTTAGAGAGTAGTAATTTTAATCAGGTAACTTTTTCTTTTAAAGTGGTGTCTACTTCTTAATATTTTTTAAAAATTTATTCATTTATTTATTAGTTTGGCTCAGAACTATTATGTAAGGCAAAAGATTAAAAGTATTTTTAGAATAAACTTCAATACATTTGTTATAAATTATTTAAAAAAATATTATCAATCATGAAATTAGTGATCTTTCCAAAAATTGTCAGTCACTAAAAGTATTTACAATTACATAAAAACTTACAAGTACAAAAACATAAAAATATGCAAGAGAACAGATAGGCAGGTCAGACAGAAGGGGTGGGCAATCGTCCACAGTGAAATGTTAGAGGGGCACTGAATGAGATTTAGATATAATGTTTACTAAATTATTGATTTCTTTCAATTTTTAAAAAAAATTTTGTTTGAAAAATATATTTATAGGTTTTTATTTTTTAATTATATATTCTTAGATTAAAACTTTCTTTATTGTCAAAAGTTCTCAGCATATACTTATATTTAAGCTTCAATTCATTATACCCAAAAGGTTCAGGCAAGACAAAAACAGAGAAAGGTGTAACCTCAGAGAATGACCATGTAGATTTAGGTCGCTTTTCATTTAGTCCTTAATTCATATTTTTCAATTTAGTGTGTCATGTCATTTTAATTTTATGAAAACAGACAGGATTTTTTCTTTTAATTATTACATTTAATTATTATTTTTTGCATTAAAGAATCCATTTCGGTAAAATCAATGTAAGTAGGTAAGTACTTTATTACATCGCACTGCAGCTGCCCAATGGACTATTGGCGATGGTCTGGGAAACATCCCCAAGGATGATCTGAAGACATACCATTACAATTTTGATCCTCTACAGAGGGGGTGGCTCCTCCACTTTGGTGGCCTGACGACCTGCGCACGAAGTAGAGCACATTACGGTATAACAGTTTAACTAGAACGGATACCGTGCACTCTCTGTCCCTACGTAGGCTGATCAAAGTTGTCACCCACACACTTACTGACCACAGTCAGTATGCTTGATTTCGGTCTTCTACCGCGATACATCCTTACGATAAGTCCACTGCGGAACTTTTTTTTAATGAAACATCACTCTAGCAGCAATCAGAACATTTTGTCTTACTTTAACGCTCTGTCTCGTCGATGTGTCACTCATTATTTTTTTAAAAAATTGGATCCTTATTTGGTGCTTCCATAGCAAAAGTATCATAGTAAAAGTATAATCACTCTCACCTAATTCAATAATTTTTAATTTTATTTTTCATACTTCAGTTTTTGAAATTTTTGTTAGTCTGGGAGTAGTTAGTCAAGGTTTGGACACAATTAGCTTATTTGTACTAAGTTGAATGTCATGTTCAATTAAGTTAGTTTTTCCTGTGATATTAGAAAAACTTTTTGAATATATTTTTAAAATGTTCTTTAATTGGTTGATTTCATGTTCGTTAAGGCAATCTTCTAGGTGACTATCTTAATTATTTCAGATACATCAAATTCATCTGGAGTAACATGCACTAGTGGTATGTCAATGTCTTGTTCTAAAGATGAAGAATTGGTTTCAAAATAGAATAGGAAATTGATTATCACAGACCGTTTATAGTATGGTTTAAGCATATTTACATTACAAATCAGCAAAATCTCTTTTTTCCTGGATTAGTTACTAAATAGTTAGTTTCAGACATTCTGCTTTCTACCTTTCCTGGACCAATCCACTGAACAGACAATTTATTAGCTCTAAAAGTTGCCAAGACAAGAAACAAATCTCCAGCACTGAATTCTCCACTAATAGTGTTTTTATATGATTTTCTTTTTAAAGCCACATCTTCCATGTTGTTAATTGCAATTTCTTGGCATCTTTTTAAACGATTTATTAGGTGAAAAACATATTCCATCACAGGAAACTTGCTTATTTCCTCCTTGATCCATTGCTCATACATCAAAGTTTCAAGGGTACGCAGATTTTCTCCATATACTAAGTCTACTGGGGTACAGTTCTCAAAACTAAAAGAGCAAATGATAGAAACTTTTCCCAGTCAAAACCTGATTCCAAACAAAGTACCCATAAGATCCGCTTGATAGTTCTATGAAACCTTTCTACGAGATTATTCAGTATTTTTCTGTGTGGTATTTTCTTCTCACTACTTGGGTCTACGATTTTTATAATTTACTCGTGAACTCATATTTTTCTTCATTTCCGTCATTTTTTTTGCAGCAGCTCCCTGCAATTTTTTTTGTGTGGTATTTTCTTCTCACCAATTGGGTCTCCGATTTTTATAATCTACTTGTGAATCAACTTGATTCCAACTTCCAAGTACATTCTCTTACTCGTCAAGCGTTTCTGCCAGCTTTGTAGATGAGGTTATTTTTTACCAAGTATCCATAAAATGCTTACGCACTTCATTGGGAACTTTTTGTTTTGTTTGATCAGTAACCATTAGATCAGCAAGGCTTCAAAATCTTTTATTTCTAATCCCTGAATCCATTCATTTAAATAGTTCTTTAATTCAAAAACGAAATCTTTCCAATTATTATCAAACTTTTTTTGATGTTGAAACAATTTGATCCTAAATTTTTCTGGACTTAGCTTAAACCGTTTCATTAAAATTTCGTTTATATTTTTTCCCCTCTTTGATATGATTTTCTTTAATTACTTCTAACATTTCTTTAACCAGTAATTTTAGAAGTTTTTAATTATATTTATCAGCTCACACACAGCAACATTGCCACTGACAGTTTCTCCTAACTAACGGGTCAACAGACATGTAGAGCATATTTTTAATGGGTCAGAATAAACTTTGCAAAAATAAATTGAAATACACTAACATCCCAGGGATATCCAAACATGTCTGTCACATATCCAAGTACCCAGTGGATATACGGATATGTGACCGATTTCTTATAGATATCTAAATAAGTCTTAAGTCTATAGATTTGGATATCTGGAGGATATGATTATTTGGATATTATAGAGACATTCAGTTCTAGAGATATAGATA